TTCTTTCACATTAGAGACGAACTTGCGGCGCATTTCCTTTGCAATGTGACTTATTATTTCTGCGCATGCATGGTCAGATTTGTGGATATTCCCAACTTCGGCTCCATTCAGCTCCTGCATGAGGGGGTTGAGCTTTTTATAAGATAGCCTTTCCTTTGCTACGGTGTAAGCTGTTCTAAACGAGACTGTTGTTTTCTTAAGTAAATCGGACTGTACATCAATGAAACAGTTTGGGAGGGTTTCTTTGTCTTTCATCTGTACTATTTCCACTGACCTCGCGTGGGCCTGGCTGTCCCTGTGTTTGTAGATCTTCTTTCGTAGCTGTTTTGCATCAGGGCTAGTAACATCACCATTGATCCATTCTTCCGCGAGGTGTAAACCCGGTCCCTTTAGCAGCAACGTTTTTGCTTTCCTACACACTAAGCATCCTAACTTTCCAGCCTTAATGTCAAGCCAGGGGTTGCGGTCTTTCCATTCGCCCACCTGCTTCGTTGTCCAACCAGCCGGCGGAAAGTCACTAGCAGCAGTAGCAGCTACCTCCGCAACTGCTGCGTCTTCTGAGCGCTCTGCCTCAACTTCACCTCCTTCTGGGGAGTGACTGGGCGGGACAGGAGCCCCCGACTCGCTAACGGTTCTGGTAGTGAGTGCTGTGCTAGCTGCTGCATCATCAGCATCATCTCTGGGTGTCTCTTGGTCATCTCGTGGTGTCACTATTTTGGATGTGAACCCAAAGTGCGCGAGTGAAACACTTTGGTTTAGCTTTCTCTTAGACATTGTAGTCCTCTCTAATGTAACGTCTTTCTCTCCTCTTTGCCGCGCGTGGCTAATTTGCATAATTTGTGTCCGCATCACGCAGCGTACCTGGCGGCGGCTGGCTCTGCTTTTGACAGCCAAAATAGAAGATATTTGTGAATAAATGTTTTGAATTATGAATACTGGACATAGTAAGCTTAAAAACATTTTAGTGACCATTGCAAGTGACAAATACATATTATAATTTCGGACCCCCCCTAAATGTTGCTGTTGAGGCTTTCAGGGGGGGTCAGGTGTTAATCGGGGGGGTCGAGCTCCCCCGGACCCCCCCGTATTTCGCACACTGACGACAGCAATGCCTTGATTGTTGTTGCTCGTCATGTTGAGCTCCCACTCCAAAACAGCAGATTTTAACACCTCAGATATGTTGAGTCCAGTGTGTGATGTGAAAAGAGGCCGCGCCTGTAAGACAAAACTTTTCATTTCCCATTCGCTGGTCATAACATGAGCTGTGACTGTAATATAGCTCTGCGTAGCTCGTGAAGTCCACCCATCTGTGGATATTGAGATCCCCTCTGCTTCTTTGAGGCTCTGTGTCACTTTAGCCTTTGTATCTTTGTACAGAGCTGGTAGCACTGTTCGACTAAAGTAGGGCCGTGATGGAATGGCATACTTGGGCTCCAGCGTGTTAACTAACCTCCTAAATCCACCGTTGTCGACCACAGAAAACGGCCTTAAGTCTTTGGCCATGTACTCACCGATGCATCTTGTTATTTCCTCAGCTCTTGGACTGTTAGGGGGAAGTGGGGCTCCAAATACTTCTTTCAGTCAGTTGGACCGGCTTACGCTTTTTCCTCACAGTAGGTTGTTGTGGTCGGAGCTTTCTTGGGTGGCGATTTGACAAATGACTTCTCATGTTCGATGTATTTCCCGAATTGTAGTTGACCGTTGCCCGGCAGGATTTGCAAATAGTTTTGCGTTTGTCAGTTTGCTTTTCACCATTGTCATTTATTGAAACGGGAAAAACCGAAATGCTGCCACACATCAGCTTTAAAACTCAATGGAGCATCCTCAATTTCACATTCTTTATTTAGTTGTTGGTCAACACATTCGTCTACTACTTCGATCTCCATCTTCTCGTTGGGTCTGAGTGAGAGCACGCTTGCTTGCACGCAAAGGATGATGGGAGTCTGTCTTCTTCACTAGTATTATGGCGCCCTCTGCTGTTCAAACAAAAACAGTATAGTTTTTTCCAATAAGGTGAGGAATGAACCATGTAATATCGCGGCAGATTTTGTCAGTCTCACAACGGTATTGAGCCGTTTGTTCACCGCGATACCGCGATATATCGTTACATCCCTAATAATTGGACATCATTGCCTTATCCCCAGATTTAAAGATCGGTGTCACCGTGGCCACCTTCCAGGATGATGGAACTTCCCTCGTGCTGATAGATTAGATAAAGTCAATGCAATTGATTCACTAGCATAGTAATTGGTTTTATTAGACCATCGATATGTGTTTTTATAAAGTTGGTGTCGAAATCATCTGCATCCCTAGCCTTAGAACCTCTTAACCCTGAATGTCATGATGTCATCAGGGTTATCTGGGATTGAGTTTGAGGAATTAAAATGTATAGATGACAGTATGTGTTACAAAATGAAGACACAACTTTGACCGTCTATTACTGGGAATGAATATTAGTTGCATTATGGGAAATGTAGGATCCAGTGTTTTGGGAGTTTGACATTTTTTTCTTTTTTGAAAGTCTTGTGAGGCCACTTATAGTAAGATGTTGGGAATCATAGTACTGGGCATTTAAGGACAGACTTCGGCTGTGTAATGCTTAACTGAGAGCTTTACATTTAATCTGTAAAACCCACACTGAATAAATCCCTCATTCAGCAACATAAACACATTGGGTCTCGGATGGAGAGACTTTGCTCAGAGTTAGCCTTTGGCGTTTGAGAGTCTTACATAAAACATGTGTTAGCAGAGGCTCTGTCAGCACTGACAACATATCAGTGAGTAAATGAGTATCTCGCAGATTATCACCTTAACAAAGACGAGCAGCGCTGCATGCCAACAGCGGCGAGCATTTCAATTATCCATGTCCGCTGCAGGGCGGCGTGCTCCCCCCTGCCAGAGACCCCCCCCCCCCCCCACCTCCATCTCTGCCTCCCGAGTGAATTAAAAATGCTTCAAAAGCTGAGTAGACTGCACTCTCCCCTTTGAGAGACGATAGGCCAATATCTATTATGTTCTTTTAATATAAGTCCGTACAAAAAAGGTAATTCCAGGTTTAGGGAATTACCTAACTACTATTTGACAGAGAAAACATTATCAAAAAGGCTGAATATGTGCTTGAATTTAGCAATTTCTGTGGGTGATATGCATTGTTGAAGGAAACAGATCGAGGTGGCTGCAGCTTTGATTTTCAACTTGAACACACCCAATGCAAATCAACCTCTAAGGATGGCTGTATATTCTGCTATTGTGCACGCACAAATGAGGTAATCAGAAGAAATGGAACCCCAGTAATTACATATATAAACCATGTATTTAACATATATTGCATCATTTTAAGCATTTTTCAGAAAAAGTGGTAGTTTGGTAAACAGTGACATCAACGACATGTTTGGTCTGTAAAATGCCCGAAAAGTAAAAGAATGGGAGATAAATATCCCAAAGTCTCCACATTGTATTATATTTGTAATGTGTTTCTGGTCCTCTTTCAGTTGAGACAGTGTAGATGAAGGATGTGTCATGATGTAGAACTCTTGTGTGAACATTGGATAAAGCCAGGTTCATATTCTTTTTTCATGTTGTTGACATATTAGAGTCAAAGGTTTGCACAGAGCGAAATATCCTTGTGTTGCGCCATAAATCAGAAAATACTGCATTAAAAAAGTCATTTCCTGCATTTTTCTACTGATAAAGTGTGATATAAATAATGTACAGGCTTTCAGATTGCTGTAGTTCACTAAACAGAGACATTAACGACATGGGAGATAAATATCCCCAAATATCAAAATTGTATTATATTTTGTGTGCGTTTGTGGTCCTCTTTCAGTTGAGACACTGTAGGTGAAGGATACTTCAGGAAAAGATCAAACACTGGATGTCTTTCAGTCGTCAACATGTGTTTTCGAGATACTGATACTAACGGGGAAACCCTGCAGGACTGAAATGCTTCGTCTCTGTTCCCTTAAACTCATTTGGGAGTGATTACCCATCAGCCCCGGGGGTGCAGAGGAAAGGCAGCATTACCCCCGGTCTGCACGTTGTTTCTCTTTCAGAAACACAGAGGACTGTTTGTATGATGGGATCACAGACACGCTGCAAACGGTGTCCGCCAAAAGTCGAGTCCAGTGTCTATGTAGTGTCATTGTTATTTGCTATAGTTTGGGAAGATTGAAAATCGGTAGGGAAAGCCAGCTAAGTCGGTAGGCGGTAGAAACATGTCAAAAGCGGTAGACTACCGCCCAAATCGGTAGGGTTGGCAGGTATGTATATATGCCGCTAAAAACTGTGCAATATATACCTGGCTGCTAAATCATCAGAACTTTTACAGGGTGTGTATTTTTGTAAATTGTGTAACTTTTTTATTATTTTTGTAAATAAAATTACAAAAATTATTATAATAATCTTTTTTTTGTTTATGTTTAGTATTTTTTGTATGCATGCTTAGGTAACATTAAGCTGTCCTTTCTGCTGTAGCAATGTACATTTCCCCTCTTTGGGACTAATAAAGGTATTCTGATTCTGATCCCAACATCCCTCCCTTCCCCTCATCCCTACATCCCAACATCCCTCCCTTCCCCTCATCCCAACATCCCTCCCTTCATCCTCTGCCTGACACCATTCATATTTAACTTGTGTATATTTTAAGATGTCTAATTCTAGGAATCGTCTGGGGGCCCGTACTCAGCCCGAGCAGATCATGCCGGAGACGGAACCCCCACCCTGAGTCTCCCACTGAACGGACCACAGCACGTCCTCCCAGACCAGAACATCTCATCAACCCCTCCATATCAATTCATTGTTACTTCTTGCAATAAACCTACACACATCACACTGTTGTGGCGTGGTCCCTGCTCGTGAACGAGTATTTCATAGAAATACGTAGGGAAAGGTTGGAAATTGGTAAAGTTGTTAATTTGAACGATACTGAGATCGAGGTGACATCAACTCAATGTAGAGGAGCACATTCATCCACAAATATTGCATGCACATGTGGACTCTACCTGCTTGGAGAGCCAGAGCTCCGAGCTTTCTTCATGTTTCTGAAAAAGAAAGGCAACATACTGTTGGTACACAGAGGTTCTTTTTAAATAGTGAACAGTAAAACAATTGTGTAGATGAAATCACATTCTTTCAAAATCAAGTCTGCCGAACATTGTGTTTCATATTTGGTCAAAGTTATTTTGGAATAACACTTTAGCATTATATTTTCCAGTCTGAATCATCTGTCACAGATTGGACCCCGTATTGTGCAGTTTATTGAAACACGCCGCTGGGGACAGCATGCTCAGTCCGAGCCATGCTTTCTAACCCACACAGAGCGGGGGTTTGGCTCAGCCGAGCTGCCTGTTGGCTGGGCGGCGTGTTTGTTCGTGCGAATCAAACTGAATCAGGAAGCAGAGCGCTGGAGAGCGGCGGCTGAGAGCCACATCTCAACTGCAGGGTTAACTCTGCTCCTCCAATATGGAAGCAGTTCACCCTGCTGAAAGTTGTATTATTTTTGTTTTGGATATAATTGTCAAAGTCTGGCGGCCCAACGAGAACCCATGCCAGCCCAGAATAATATTTGTTCTTTATTGCCAAAAATAAGACAACATTTCCATTCCAGTGCCGAGTGGTCAGCTGAACAGGTGAAGTTAAGATAACATTGTTAGCAGGAGACAGGCCTGGTTATAAAAGACACGCTAACATGCTAACTGATAAGCTGTGGTTGTGTTACAGCTGGACCAGACTACTGGCCCCCATTGCTCTCTGTGCAGTCTGCTGGAAGTAGCCACAGTGAGCAATGCACCGGACTCCATTAAAAAATAATACATTATATTATTGAGGCACTTTTCAAGGCACCCATGGTCGCCTTACAATGAATAAAACAAACACTCTAACAGTAACATAAGCAAAACATACAATACTTGCAGAGCAGACAGAGAAAAAAGACAATACATGTAAAAGTGTTTGGTGTATTGAAAGTTAAAACAAGTGATGCAACTAAACGATGCTGATGTGAAGAGTGGCTGGCGGATTTGGAAAAGTAACTATACATATCATTTAAAGATATTTCAAAGTTAAAGTGTGATTGTTTTAGAAGGACTCTGCACCCCTGACTGTTTCCTAAACCCCGCCCTAAAATAGGATTGGCTAATCATAGCCTAGCAACCATTACTAGTAAGAACAGGTGTGTCTGTGAGGTATATATATGGAGTAGAGGTTATACCTTGAAATATGGCTTTTAATTGATACCAAGATATAACGAGGCCACAATAACAGCTAGCAGTCTGATAGTGATCTAAATGTTTAATGTTAACAGGACCCAATGTAATATCATGTAAGAAAAGAATGTCATGATCTAAGATCAATTAAATATTAATGAGCTACTTTAAAATAACACACAGCTTCAATGGTTCACTAAATATGTTCATATTCTGACTTCAATTTGTGAATGAGTTGCAAATATTATGTCACAGGAAGTGATTTAACATTATTATTTTTGTTTTGGGATGGATCCTATGCTTTTGGATTCAAAGACTGAGACTCTTTCTTTATTAAGCAAATACAGTTTCAAATGTTGCCTCACAAAACCAGTGTAAGGAATGTATTAAACTGTGTTTTTGAGATAACACTTGTCTTTAAAACTGCTGAAAGGATGCTGAGTGTCTCACAGAAAGAAACACTGAAGGCACTCATACTGATGGTCTAACATGAATAACAAAGGCCATTGTTCTAACTTAGCTGCTCGTGAACTGGCAACAACACGGCAGACAGCTTCCACTCAGTGCATGATAGGAGGGAAACGATTTGAAACGAGTGCTCGTGAACAAGTTAAAGTAAACAAGTGCTGAACGAACACTAGAGTGTTCCATTGGACATTAAACATAATAAGTTAAAAGCTATCAACATAAAGCTCACAGAAGCAACCTTGGAAACCTTCACTATGGAGGAATAGATTTATGAATGTACTTCAGGTATCATTTTGTTTGTGTTTTCATCTGGTTACTCTTTAGCGGCTGTTTTATCTGCTGCTCAACTTGAAACCTTGAGATGTTTAAGATTATTGTTAAATATTTCTATTGTCATATTTTCATTTGTGTGAGTAGCATAAAGGTACTAAAACAAAAGTGTTGTCTTATAAACCCTGTGTTGTTGAGTAATGTATAACAGTACTTTCTAGCTTGCACCTTTTTAACATCAATGCATTCTAATAGTGAGTACATTTCAGTCGTTTGCTGTGTTTGGCATACAGCCCCAGGCAGTGTTAGATGAAACCCACAGCAGATCCCACATCAGATGCTTTGCTAACTTCCTGTCTCACCGTGACGCAGGCTCCGGTGGTGGTGTCACACACCGTCAGGATGGAGATGTTCTGGGCTCGGTTCAGCCACCTGACCGACGTCTTGGTCTTACTGATCCATTTCACCATGGTCACATAATGTTCACTACAAACACATTATAACGCACAATGATTATTACTCTTTACACAATTATCCGTGCACTCTTAATGATAATGATTACAACGTAGTGGTAGACATATCATCATAATACATTGTTTAAGGTTAAATCTTATTTAAAATCAAATGTGTAGAGAATGAATGGAAAACGACATATCTTGAGAACATTTTTTAGGTTGTTCTATGTGTTCTATGAATATGGTGACGCGACCACAGCACACCGTTCCCATGTGACACTGGTTCATTTTATCGAGCAGTTTACTACTTTATGGGCTATAAAAAAGGACAATAACGTTTCTACACATACTGTACATTACATACGCTTTATGACAAAAAACACAACACAATATAAAGCCTTTTAAGCTCAAGTATCATAATATTTCATAAAATTGCTTCACACACTGGCTTTAACTAATTGTAACTTAGTACATTCACTGTACTTAAGTACTTATTTAAGGTAACTTATGTAGCTAAAACAAATCATTTGTAAATGATGTATTTTTTTACTACATAGGTTTAAGGTTTAGCATTTTCCTTAAGTCTGTTTTCTGATCGAAGTGCTGTGACTGTATTTTGACAGTGTGATATTAGCACTTATTCATCTGTATAAACCAATGTTTAGAATGACAAGCTTAATGTTTTTGGACCATTTAGTAGTTAGGGCTGGATACGTTAACTTTTTAGGGTATTTTGTTAGTGTTAGGTGTTTTATTATTGTAAACTATATGTGTTTTATATTTTCTGTTTAGTGTCTGTGCCTTTGTTTCTTAGGGTGTCTCATTTCACATAGCTCAATGTTGTCTTATGGTAGTACTCGTGTATGGTATGTAACTGTTTGTGAATACATGAATGTAATGCTGGGATTTGCTGGTCAGTCCTGGTTTGCCCTTCAGTTTGATAGCTAACCTCATTGCAATTCAAAGTAATAGTGTCTTTGTTTAAGTGGAGCACAGCAAGCTGCAGTGCACATGTCCCCCCACTTACAAGAGTGTTTATTGGGCAAAATACTTTTTCAGTGGAACAGCAGCTGATAGGAGAGTTTGACAAAGAAAGATTTAGCTCTTCTCACCGCAGCTTGAGTGTCTCTGGAGGCATGAGCTCCAGCGTGTGCGTCGGCCCGTAAAGATTCACCACGTACAGCTTCACCACCGGGTTAGGTTGGCCCGCCTGCACACCGAGAGGCCACACATCAGACAGAAGCATGACATCATCATCATCTATTCCGGCCGGGGAGTGTTTAGACCGTATTCACAGCGTACCTCCTTACCTCTCACCAATTCCAATTCAGGTTCCAGTGGGGACCTTTCTCCCTGTGTGCCTCTCCACCTCCATTTCTTACTTATTACTTGCTACCCTTTTCCCTCAACCTATCCTAAGGGAGTGCATGTATGTAGACACGTTAGTTTAGCTGCTATAGGCTTGGACTGTTGGGGGGCCAGGGGGGGCACCTTACTCCGTCTTTCTGTCTGTTTGTACCTGTGTACTCTCATGTTCCGATTAACCCAGTTTCCCCCAAATCTCTTTTTTGTGTCCATATCTACGCCGGGATCCTGAGTCGAGGCTAATCCTGTTGCTGTGGTCGTGTGTCCTGGATCCTCTATCCTGAGCACTGGATCTGAGTCCTGGACTTCGAGTCGTGGCTGAACCTGTCTCTGTGGTCCTGCCAGACTCTGATCATACTACTTCACTGATGGCTCCCACAGGATTGCTGACATCCTCGTGGATTCATCTTCTTATTATAGACCAACCCAGTCTCATGGAATTTCGTGTTCACCAACACGATTTTCCCCTTTTTTTCGTGTTGCACAGCACGATTTTAAAAGCAATGTATTTCTACTGGTAATGTGTTTCTTGCCTGCAGCACGTCTTTTTCTCCGGTTGGGTCGTGGGAGACCGGAAGCTGTGTGGTTCATAAAAACATGTTCTTACTCAATATCAAGCCACAATTATTGCTTTTATTTTAAATCGTATAATTTCGGACTTTTGTTGTCGTCTGTGAGGAAAATAAATGGGGCTCAGAGCCTCAGGATACTGAAATCTGTATTTTTGAATATTTGTTTCCTTCTAATTTGTTATTCTTTTCAAAATAACACACTGTTATTTACTCACCAATAACACACAATTATCCTTGCTTTTATTTATTGCTTTAATTCCATAATCTCGGGCTTTTTTGGCGTCCGTCAGGAACTGAATTTCAAAATAAAAATAACCGGAAACAGACGTAGGCCTATAAGGGACATTACGAGCGTCATTGCAATTGTCAACATTTCTGAGTTTAGGATGGCCGAAGACACTACACTACCCATAATCCCCACTATCGTTTAGGACTACAGTCCCCGTAAGGTTACGCAGAGCGTCAAACAGCTGTGTGAAATGGAACGAAACCACGCCAGCCTATCCAAAACTGGAATCGAACGCCCCCCCAGAACTACACATGCTGGCTATTGTGTTTCGCAAAATGTTCTATGGGACGTCTCTACTGAACGTTTTCGTTTTTCCCACAATTAGAAGTTGCCAGTATTAAACACATTGGTGTTATCAAATGTAAAACATATAATTAATAAATGGGTGAAAATCGCTTGTGTCCATAATGCACAGCATTAATATATACCCACATGACAGCTCATTGTTACTTTGTAATTCTACTCCAGGGGTGGACTGTCCATTGGGAATACCGGGAGTTTCCCCGGTGGGCCAGTGCTGTGTGTGGGCCGGAGGGCCAAAAAAAAAAAAAAGTTTATATAAAAAAAAAAAAATCCTTTTTTTTTGCCTAAATCTTACCGGCCCACATTTGTAAATGTTCCGGCCACTCCCTTTTTTTTTTTGCTTACCTAAATCCTACCGGCCCACATTTGTAAGTGGTAAACACAGTGAAGGCGGTGCGTGAAAGGCGGTGCGTGAAAGGCACTGCGCGCTCCTCTTCTCAGAGGCTGAGTTAACCCTCCCGCTGCCTCCTGGTGCTGCAGAGATGTCATGAAGTGAAGGAGGTTTTCCTTCTATAAACCAGCTGCGGGCAGCAGATCCTGTGAGAGTCACAGACATGAATACATAGATCAAGGCAGACTGGTGCACACACTCTCCTGTTTTGCCAATCCGGTGCTTAAACAAATATAGCTCTACACCCCTGGCCGAAATGTCCTTAAAATGAAGTCCGAGTTCGACATTTTAATTCATGTCCTGCCAACACTGGCAGGACAGAAGGCGACACGCCCTTTCTAAGCCATGTCCTCACATCCCAAGCTGCTTCCCCAACAAGTTTATTATGTTGTTACAACAGGGTTCAGGGGGAGTGGCTGTACGGCTGTACCCGTAGGATAGAAAAGGGGGAAGTGATGTCTGACTCAGAGCAGGTCGCGCGGCTGTGGAGAAGAACGTGTTGCCCACATTCTGTTACTGAGTTTAGGCTAGTTAGCTAGCAGGTTTATTGTTTTGGGTGCAGTCACTTTTGCCTCCACTTGCTGTTCAAATAAATGTTGAAAGAAAAAGTTAATCTGTTTACAGTTCTGTTTTAAATTAGTGAAGAAGAAGAAGAAGAAGAAGAAGAAGAAGAAGAAGAAGAAGAAGAAGAAGAAGAAGAAGAAGAAGAAGAAGAAGAAGAAGAAGAAGAAGAAGAAGAAGAAGAAGAAGAAGAAGAAGAAGAAGAAGAAGAAGAAGAAGAAGAAGAATTGGGAGGGATGAAACCCTCTTTAATGGTCACACATGCAGAGCACACAGCACACAGTGAAATGTGTGTGTGTGTGTGTGTGTGTGTGTGTGTGTCTCTCTACTTTTAACCCATCCTAGTACCAGGAGTCTAGTACTAGGAGCAGTGGGCAGCTATTGTACAGCACCCGGGGAGCAATGGGAGTGAGGGGGGAAGGGGGATGTATGGTGCCTTACTCAAGGGCACCACGGCAGTAGGTGAACTGGGACCTCTCCAAGTAGAAGTCCACACTCCAAATAGGTCTGGTCGGGGACTTGAACCGGCGACCCTACGGCTCATAGTCCAAGCCCCTACTGACTGCCATAGATTTAGTCCCTAATTTTGCTCTCAAAATGGACCAGATTGATGCATTTAACTTCAACATTTAAAAAAAAATCCCCCTAGAGGAGGTGAGGTCCAGCACCTGCCCACACCCCCTGTTAAATTGTCTCACCCACATTGAGGATGATTCCTACGCCCATGTTTTATTCCATGTGTCAAGTCAGACAAATTGGGTCCAAATGTTATTGCATCAATGATCTGTTAACATTAAAATCACTAAATATATGCCGTAACTATTTTGCTCTAGGCAACTCAAGGGCTCAGGTAATGTGATTAATATATGAATAATTGTCCAAAATAACATAAAATGCATAGGGTTTTTTGTTAAGTTACATACTTTCGTCGCCGGCCGGCCGATACATGCCGCGAATTAAGTGGGCCTGTCTGTCAATTAATCCCCGGGCCACTTTTTCCCCCCAGTCCGCCCCTGTTCTACTCCACTACAATTCAGAGGTTAACCTGGTATTTTTACTCCACTGCATTTATTTGAGTTACTTTGCAGATTCTGATTAATTATGTGAAATATAAACAACCCTTAAATCAGACTTTAGTTACACCTGAGTAAAATTCAGGTAAGGTGATTGTCAAGTGCCAACAATCAGGAGAGATATTTGATAGTTGGTGCTTGAGAAGACTAAACATGTATCTGCAATTGACATGAATGGAAACGAGTAATAAAGTATATTCATTACTCGTTATTCTCTACTAATAGTTCATTAAAGACTGTATATTATGGCTATTTTGCACATCCCTTTCAAGATTTCAAGATTTTCTAAGGTTTATTGACATATCATATACACAACTACGGTGTAGTTATGCAATGAATGAAAAACTTGGGTCACAGGTTCCACAACAGTGCATTACAAGACATGTGTGTACCTCCACCATTAAACTGTCATATTCTGCACATTTCTTATTCTATCTACATACATAAGTGAGTATAATTAATGTGTATAATATCAGTTAAAATAAGTGCTTCAACATAGTTAACATTGCAGGAAAGCAATATATTAGACGTTAAGTACTTTGTCAGGCTTAATATGTATCTGTAGATAGATACCCCCAAAGTTTTTTTCTTATTTAAAAGAAGACCTTAATCTGTTATTTAATGTTTAAATAAAGGTTAATTAGTTTTTCTGTTTTGCACATCCTCCTATTAATATCTTTGTACATTCTGCACTAAACTGTTTTATTGTAGAGATCACTTATAGTATCTTCTTGATTTTTTATATTCTATATTTCTATATTTATACTTTCACCCTATGAAAGTATGTACTCTTAATATGTTTTTAATCAAATATAACACATAAAAACAATAATTCAATAACGTGCTTTAGGAGGTGCACACAAGGTACACACAGCCATAATAACTTTGTATTATTAGTGTAGGACACTTATGTACAGTATGTACAACATCTGAAGATGTGTAGTTTTATTCATGCTTTCACATAATGTTACAGCATATTGCTATACTATTTCAGACTCAGTATTTACATTCTTACATTCAAAGAAAATCAGTAATATCTTTAAAAACTACAGTCCTTTTATATCAGCTGTGCACCGTTATGGTGTAAATATAACCTATCTGTGAATTAGATCAAATGTAAAAGTCAGCCGAATTAGTGTTGATACTGCAAGGAGACGTATTGTGTGAAGAGACATTGAAGATGTTGTTTAATTGTTGATATATTTATGATCCACGTCAAGTATTCAGTTTCGGCAGCATTTCTACCAGTTTTTCCAAAGGTCTTCTCATCAGGGCTCTATAAATAAAGAACTACGGCAGATCTGTAATATACAATGCAGCCGAACCGTGTATTACAATGCCGTTATGTGATATGTGAGAAAAGCAAGAGCACTCGGAATTAAGTATTATTTTATTCTTTTAAAATGTTTTCCGGATTTCATATCATATAAACACCAAATCCCAGCATGCATTGCGGCTAAAACATCCAATCAGCGAGCTTAAACCATAGCTGAGGATCTTGGGTAATCGCTCGAAATGCCTACATCTGTTTCCGGTTATTTTTATTTTGAAATTCAGTTCCTGACGGACGCCAAAAAAGCCAGAGATTATGGAATTAAACCAATAAATAAAAGCAAGGATAATTGTGTGTTATTGGTGAGTAAATAACAGTGTGTTATTTTGAAAAGAATAACAAATTAGAAGGAAAAAAAGATTTAAAAAATACAGATTTCAGTATCCTGAGGCTCTGAGCCCCATTTATTTTCCTCACAGACGGCAACAAAAGTCCGACATTATACGATTTAAAATAAAAGCAATAACTGTGGCTTGATATTGAGTAAGAACATGTTTTTATGAACCACACAGCTTCCGGTCTTCCTCGACCCGACCGGAGAAAAAGACGTGCTGCAGGCAGTAGAAATACATTGCTTTTAAAATCGTGCTGTGCAGCACGAAAAAAAGGGGGAAATCGTGTTGGTGAACACGAAATGCCATGAGACTGGGTTGTATAGACACATGCATTTCCAAACATTTGGACTACCTACACTGTAAAATGTATTATCTCTTCAATTTACACACGGCATCTATTGCACGTCTGTCCGTCCTGGGAGAGGGATCCCTCCTCTGTTGCTCTCCCTGAGGTTTCTCCCATGTTCCCTTTTAAACTGTGGGGTTTCTCCGGAAGTGTTTCCTTGTACGATGTGAGGGTCTAAGGACAGAGGGTCTAAGGACAGAGGGTCTAAGGACAGAGGGTGTCGTATTGTCATACTGATATTCTGTACAAACTGTGAAGTCCACTGAGACAAATGTAACATTTGTGATATTGGGCTATAAAAATAAACATTGATTGATTGATGTGACTTTCTGCACAAGAATAAAGGGATACAAAAGTAAGGGCAGTCAGAAAACGAAGAACTTGAAGCTCTGGGGCAATGTAACTGGGACTGATTAAACATGATGCATTTAAGAAACACTTTGACAATAGTAAAGTGGAACAGAACAGGCTTTTGCATTGTGTCATTGCTCTCTGTGTTTGACATTGTACATCTTGTTCATCCAAGAGAAACCACCCTCAGACATTATAGCACTGTTGGGATCATTGCAGTATGACACATTTGATTTTTTTCATTCCCCCTGGAACGACTCATTCCACTTCGATTTCCTCTGCTGGTGCTGAGAGAGCCATAGAAACATGTTCATACAGAGCAACAGCTGTGACTTTGGTTGTCTGTGAGATCGCTGCGTCACGCTGCATTCTGTCTCACGCTGCTGACAGGGGGGAAGTTGCCCCTGCCCTTTTTAACTTTACTCTTCCCCAGTCTGACTGAACACTGGATGTAAACTGACTCAGAGTTACACTTTTCCTCTTCTTGCTGATTCCAAGGCTTGGATAGATAGAGATACACTCATATGTGTTCTTGATTTAAACAATGTTTGTGTCTACCTGACTTTAGATTGAAATGGCATCTTAAAATACTACATTTCTTCTATTTGTTTGAGAATATTGTTCTATGGTCTAGATTCAATTAAAGTAAACCAAACTTTAACATTTTGAGGAAATAGTTTTTTTTAGAGTTAGTTAATGTACAACAATGGGTACAGAGTTGGAGAACGTGTTCAGTTTAGCTTGATATCAAGACTGAAAGCATCTCCGTTCAAAAAAGAAGAAATCCTTCCCACAACTGTGAGGGAGGGGGTTAACGTGGGCCTCTGTCTCCAGAGGAAAGGGGGGTGAGGCCAGCAGTGATTCACCACCAGGCTCTTCCACGGCAGGAGGGGGGGTTCGGGAAAGGGTCCTGACTCAGTGACCCTTTAAGCTTCTCCCGGAGGAGAAACCAAGCACGCGGGGCAGGGGTCTGTCTGCTCTGGACCATCAGCCAGGGCAGTGGCAGGGGTCTCAGCCTTCACAGGTTAAAGATATTAGTCTTCGGCACCAGAGGTCGGCTGGAGGTCGCGGAATCAGTGGTCTAATGTGGCTCAGTGAAGTGAGGAGCGTAAGGGTGTGAAGATGTGTCTAAAGAACTCAGGGTCTGAAGAGTGGAGCCATGCAGGACTGCCTTGAAACTGCATTTGTTCTCATGGCCAGCAAGGGCGACTCCTCTTGTTGCAAAAATAAGTCCAATTGTATAGACGTTTACGAGAAAATTACCCTACTTCTCGCTTCATTTATTAACTCATATCAGTAAACATTTTCCAACAACTTAAGGCCTCAATTGCTAGTTTCAAGTCTTCTGCAATGCAGCGTGTTGCTAATTCTGTAAATGATGGATGTTTCCACTCAGAGGAACATAGTATGAGTATGCTTTAGGGCGTCTCCACTGTATATGCAGTCTATGGTTAGTTTGTTTTCGGATACAAAATACAATGTTATCATTTCATTCTTGATTAAGCAAACATATCCCAAAATTGTGAATGAAAATGACAACAATACCTTGTTTTTCACATTTTCCTGAGAGCATGGCTAATGATAGTGTATCCACTCTCAACGTTATCATGACAGGTCTTCTGTTTACCTTGGGGTAGGGGTACTGCTTCCCTTTGGGGTAAGTCATGCCGGTGAAGCGGGGCAGCGCCATGTTGGGTACCAGACTGTCATTGAGGACCAGGAAGGCCAGCCTCTCTCCATCAGGGGACCACCAGTGGGCCACATGGGTCTGAAGGATCTCCTCTGTTCGGAAGGAAGTGACACAGGATGGGTTACATGTTTTCATCTAAATCAAGCTCTGCGTTTTTGAAGTCGTGGAACAAAACTTTAAGATCTCTACAGCTCGTGATGACCACAGACCTTATTTCAGGCATGCAACCAAAAACATGTTCAGAGTGTGTTAAAGACTTTGAGACATCAATTAGAATAATTGGATAAGCATAACAGATTATAGAAATTGGATTAAGGATGTTTGGACTGCACATGTCCTGTTACTGAACTTACTCATTGTGTGATGTCATTAGGTTTGAGCTTTGTCCTCCATGGTTTAAAATCAGTTGTGTGTTCATCTATAATATGAACATGTTAAAGATTCTGATAGGAATGTTCCTGATAAAACAATGTAAAGTAAACCAAATGCATTACACTGTGGACATTTCTTTTGTGTAATGTAATTGATCATAACAACTGTTTACCCATATTGGTGGAAAAGAAGATTTCTTTCAAAAAACAAGGTCAACACTGACAACAGAACAGTTTTTGTAAAAAAGTCCAACATTCTGAATGTGTTATATATTTGTATATATATATTATATTTTATTTCCAAATCCAATTAAATGTATACTAATTGTCATTCAATAGAACATGTAATATTGTGTTGTCCTTAATTGTAATACACAATCAGACTCAAAGCCAAACCAACTGTAGTGGAAAAGAGCAATGCCTGAAGAGGTGTTAAACCCAGTTCTGATTTTAGGGTCAATCATCACTAAGTGCAACATTATTGCACTTCACAAACATAATTAGTCATAAAAGGAAAGAAGGAAGGTGAAACAACAGTTACTGCGGTGGCTTCCCTTTTTATAAGATTGACATAATAAGATGTTCCCCTGAGAGATGGCCGGTCTCTGAGTGCATGCAGTATGTGTTTACTTAAAGCACATAAAACGTCTCCTCACACCCAGCGGGGAGATATCGGCACCAGAACAAACATTATGAATATTTAATCTCTGCCTTTTATGAGGTAATTTCTCTCAACGAGGATATTTACGCTTTATAGGACAGTCTGCCAACAATTAAAAATGTAGTTAGATATTATCTGTTTATACGCAATGTTTCACAACCACTAACGCAGTTCCACAACACGTCATGATCTGACATCTGAACGTTTATGCAAACAGCAGGAACAAGCTTTAATTAGTTTTACCTTTAAGGCCTTCACACACCAAAGGGAACTTATTGAAATGATTGATTTGCTCATCAATAAGTCAGGCACTGTTGTTTTTGTAAAGATTACAAACACACAGGATGTTGTTGATATTACTCAAGTGGTGTTAACTTTTTTCAAAAGTAGTATTTTTCGGAGCTTTTGCACAATCACATTGCGTGTAACAGACATCACTTGAAAACATACTGACAGCTGCAGCTCTGCAGCAGCCCATTCTGTGTGTTCTCTGTGTGTGTTCTCTGTGTGTGTTCTCTGTGTGTGTTCTCTGTGTGTGTTTGTGTTGGCGTAGCCATGGCTGTCCCTCCTGGCTCGACCCCCCCATACCTGGCTGCAGTTCGTACCCCTCTCTGCCAACTCACCTGCTCCCCATCCAGTCATCAACCCCCGGTACATCAACCCTGGCTCCTCCATCATCATCCCCCAGATCGCTACAACTTTATTTTTGTGACTGCTAATTATTGCTTTTGTCTTTTTAAACCAAGTCCTCTTGTGGCGGGATCATCCAGGTACACGCAACACCGTTTCCCAGATCCTGAGCCCGCAGCTAGGTTATTGTGGATATGTAAATGATCTGCAAAGGCTGACATCCCTGTGTTCCCTCCAGAGGACAGAAGTGTGAGTAACAGTAACACTTATATTAGCTGGCACTACAACACATTGTACGTGGGGGCGGGTCAGCTCTAAGCAGTTGACCAATCACAACAGAGCCGGCCAGCTAAAAAATCAGAGCAGACTGGGCTCTGGTTTCAGACAGAGGGTGAAAAGAGGTGCAGCAGCACAGGCAGTATGAGAAAGATAAAGAGCTTTTTGAACATTAAAGCATGGAGACATGTAGAGACACTACATACTGATATGAACCTGAACATCATCAGGAGAGGACTCTTTAAAGTAGAGACACTACATACTGATATACACCTGAACATCAGCAGGAGAGGACTCTTTAAAGTAGAGACACTACATACTGATATACACCTGAACATCAGCAGAAGAGGACTCTTTAAAGTAGAGACACTACATACTGATATACACCTGAACATCAGCAGGAGAGGACTCTTTAAAGTAGAGACACTACATACTGATATACACCTGAACATCAGCAGGAGAGGACTCTTTAAAGTAGAGACACTACATACTGATATACACCTGAACATCAGCAGGAGAGGACTCTTTAAAGTAGAGACACTTCATACTGATATACACCTGAACATCAGCAGGAGAGGACTCTTTAAAGTAGAGACACTACATACTGATATACACCTGAACATCAGCAGGAGAGGACTCTTTAAAGTAGAGACACTACATACTGATATACACCTGAACATCAGCAGGAGAGGACTCTTTAAAGTAGAGACACTACATACTGATATACACCTGAACATCAGCAGGAAAGGACTCTTTAAAGTAGAGACACTACATACTGTGTCTGAGCATACTGAGAACTGAGCAATCAGGCGTCCATTTCGGGTAGCTCTTTCCTGGAGCGGCAGCTTCAGCGGCAGACAGGCTAAGACTGACAAAGACATTAGAGTCCTACGGGAGTCACGAGGGAGGCAAAGAGGAGGCAAATCCTACTTTGATTGAGCTAAGTATCGTTGGCGTTTTTAATTTTTACTTTTGTTGTTTAGCCCCTCATGCTATAATCATGTGTATTTTCTCAATTCCTGTTCATGTGTCTTCTCGCAATTATCACTGGCCCCGTGTATCTCCTAATCGATATAACCGGCCTGCTCTCGTCTATCCCACGTGCTCCACTGAGATCCATCATCTAGTTTCAGGTGGCCTGTGGAACTGCCAGTCAGCTGTTCCTAAAGCTGACTTCATCTCTGGCTACGCCTCCCTGCAGTCTCTGGATTTCCTTGCTCTCACTGAGACCTGGATTACTCCATCCAACACATCCACCCCAGCAGCTCTCTCCACTGCATATTCCTTCTCCCATACACCCAGACCCACTGGCAGAGGAGGTGGCACTGGTCTCCTGCTCTCTCCCAAATGGAGCTTTTCCCTCTTCAAGCTACCTAACTTTACTCCTTCCACCTTTGAGTTCCATGCCGTCACAGTAACCCATCCTATACAGTTAACCATTGTTGTTCTCTACCGTCCACCAGGCGCCTTGGGGGACTTCTTGGAGGAATTAGATCATCTCCTCTCACACATCCCTGAAACTGGCCCTCCCGCTGTACTTCTCGGAGACTTCAACCTCCAGATGGGGAAGATAGACGAACTAACATCTCTGTTAACCGCCTTTGCTTTCTCACTCTCTCCGTCCCCACCGACTCATAAAGCTGGCAATGTCCTTGATCTCATATTCTCAAGGAACTGCGCTACTTCTAACCTCTCTGTAATCCCGCTCCACACATCCGATCACTTCTTCATTTCATTCTCTCTATCCCTTTCAAAACATAACAAACTAATCTCTTCCCATCCTACACTTGTCCGCCGTAACCTTCACTCCCTCTCTCCCTCTACCTTTGCCTCGTCGGTGCTCTCAGCCCTCCCTTCCTCTGATTCGTTCCAACTACTGCCTCCAAACTCTGCTGCAGAAACTCTCCTCTCTACTCTCTCATCCACTCTGGACTCGCTCTGTCCTCTGACATCTCGGCAGGCTCGTCAGTCCCCTCCGGCTCCCTGGCTAAATGATGCACTGCGTGCTAATAGAACCGTCCTTAGGGCAGCAGAGCGGAAATGGTGGAAATCCAAACACCGTGACGACCTCCTAACCTATCAAGCTCTCCTCTCCTCTTTCTCTGCTTCGATCTCTCAGGCAAAAAGCACTTTCTTTCAAGATAAGATCCAATCTTCCTATTCCAATCCTAAAAAACTATTTTCCATCTTCTCCACCCTCTTGGACCCTCCAAAAGCTCCTCCCCCCTCCTCACTTCTGTCAAGCGACTTTGTGACCCACTTTGAAAAAAAGGTTAATGATATTCGCTCTTCTTTTTCTGACTCACCTTTACTCACCGCTGGGTCACCAGACCTTCCTTCCACCAACACACTAACCTCCTTTTCCCCTCTCTCTCCAAGTGAGGTTCTTACCCTCATTACCTCTGCCCGCCCTACCACCTGTCCTCTGGACCCTATCCCTTCAAACCTCCTTCAGACTATCGCTCCTGATATTCTACCGTTTCTCACCCATTTCATCAACACTTCTCTAACTTCTGGTCACTTTCCAAACAGTCTCAAGGAGGCAAGAGTAAACCCTCTCCTAAAGAAACCCACTCTCAACCCGTCTGATGTTATAAACTACAGGCCTGTCTCTCTCCTCCCGTTCCTGTCTAAATCACTTGAACGCGCTGTCTTTAAACAACTCTCCTGTTATCTCAATCAGAACAACCTTCTGGATCCGCACCAGTCTGGTTTCAAGGCAGGTCACTCCACAGAAACTGCTCTCATTGCTGTCACGGAGGAACTGCACACTGCCAAAACTGCATCCCTCTCCTCTGTCATCATCCTGTTGGACCTGTCTGCTGCATTCGACACGGTGAATCATCAGATCCTCCTTCGCACTCTCCAAAAACTTGGAGTTTCTGGCTCTGCACTTTCCCTCCTCACCTCATACCTGAAAGACCGTACCTACAGGGTGACTTGGAGAGGGTCTGAGTCCGACCCTTGTCAATTAACTACGGGGGTCCCTCAGGGCTCTGTTCTTGGTCCCCCTCCTCTTCTCCTTGTACACAAACTCGCTCGGATCAGTCATTAGCCCGCATGGTTTTTCTTACCACTGCTACGCTGACGACACCCAATTAATTCTGTCCTTTCCCCGCTCAGAGACCCAGGTCGTCGCACGCATCTCTGCTTGTCTAGCTGACATCTCTCAGTGGATGTCTGCTCACCACCTCAAGCTCAACCTTGACAAGACTGAGCTGCTCTTCCTCCCGGGAAAAGATTGTCCAACTCTTGACCTGACAATCAACATCGGCACCTCAGTTGTTTCCCCGACTCAGACTGCAAGGAATCTGGGTGTGACCCTAGATAACAACCTGTCCTTCACTGCAAACATCGCTGCTACAACCCGCTGCTGCAGATACACGCTTTACAACATCAGGAAGATACGTCCCCAGCTGACTCAGAAAGCGACTCAGGTTCTGGTCCAGGCTCTCGTCATCTCACGCATAGACTACTGCAACTCCCTCCTGGCTGGTCTACCTGCATGTGCCATCCGACCTCTGCAGCTCATCCAGAATGCAGCGGCTCGTCTGGTTTTCAACCTTCCTAAATTCTCCCACACCACTCCGCTCCTCCGCTCCCTTCACTGGCTTCCGGTAACTGCTAGAATCCACTTCAAGACACTGGTACTTGCTTACCGTGCTGCGAATGGATCTGGCCCTTCCTACATCCAGGACATGGTTAAACCGTACACCCCAGCGCGTGCACTACGCTCTGCATCAGCCAAACGACTCGTTGCGCCCTCGCTGCGAGGGGGACCCAAGTTCCCATCGGCGAAAACACGTGGGTTTGCTATCCTGGCTCCAAGATGGTGGAATGAGCTCCCCATTGACATCAGGACGGCAGATAGCTTGCACATCTTCCGGCGCAAACTGAAAACTCATCTCTTTCGACTCCACTTCGAGCGTTAGAACGATTAACGAAGCACTTTTATACCAATAAAGGACTGGATTACCTAAAGCCAGTTGAGTAGCACTTGAAATGTTTGGCTCTATGAAACCTGATATACTTATATGATTCTGTTTTCTTCAAGGTTGTGTCTTCCTGGTCGAATGTACTTATTGTAAGTCGCTTTGGACAAAAGCGTCAGCTAAATGCAATGTAATGTAATGTACTGATATACACCTGAACATCAGCAGGAGAGGACTCTTTAAAGTAGAGACACTACATACTGATATACACCTGAACATCAGCAGGAGAGGACTCTTTAAAGTAGAGACACTACATACTGATATACACCTGAACATCAGCAGGAGAGGACTCTTTAAAGTAGAGACACTACATACTGATATACACCTGAACATCAGCCGGAGAGGACTCTTTAAAGTAGAGACACTACATACTGATATACACCTGAACATCAGCAGGAGAGGACTCTTTAAAGTAGAGACACTACATACTGATATACACCTGAACATCAGCAGGAGAGGACTCTTTAAAGTAGAGACACTACATACTGATATACACCTGAACATCAGCAGGAGAGGACTCTTTAAAGTAGAGACACGACATACTGATATACACCTGAACATGAGCAGGAGAGGACTCTTTAAAGTAGAGACACTACATACTGATATACACCTGAACATCAGCAGGAGAGGACTCTTTAAAGTAGAGACACTACATACTGATATACACCTGAACATCAGCAGGAGAGGACTCTTTAAAGTAGAGACACTACATACTGATATACACCTGAACATCAGCAGGAGAGGACTCTTTAAAGTAGAGACACGACATACTGATATACACCTGAACATGAGCAGGAGAGGACTCTTTAAAGTAGAGACACTACATACTGATATACACCTGAACATGAGCAGGAGAGGACTCTTTAAAGTAGTGACACTACATACTGTTATACACCTGAACATGAGCAGGAGAGGACTCTTTAAAGTAGAGACACTACATACTAATATACACCTGAACATGAGCAGGAGAGGACTCTTTAAAGTAGAGACACTACATACTAATATACACCTGAACATGAGCAGGAGAGGACTCTTTAAAGTAGAGACACTACATACTAATATACACCTGAACATGAGCAGGAGAGGACTCTTTAAAGTAGAGACACTACATACTGATATACACCTGAACATCAGCAGGAGAGGACTCTTTAAAGTAGAGACACTACATACTGATATACACCTGAACATCAGCAGGAGAGGACTCTTTAAAGTAGAGACACTACATACTAATATACACCTGAACATGAGCAGGAGAGGACTCTTTAAAGTAGAGACACTACATACTGATATACACCTGAACATTAGCAGGAGAGGACTCTTTAAAGTAGAGACACTACATACTGATATACACCTGAACATCAGCAGGAGAGGACTCTTTAAAGTAGAGACACTACATACTGATATACACCTGAACATCAGCAGGAGAGGACTCTTTAAAGTAGAGACACTACATACTGATATACACCTGAACATCAGCAGGAGAGGACTCTTTAAAGTAGAGACACTACATACTAATATACACCTGAACATGAGCAGGAGAGGACTCTTTAAAGTAGAGACACTACATACTGATATACACCTGAACATCAGCAGGAGAGGACTCTTTAAAGTAGAGACACTACATACTGATATACACCTTAACATCAGCAGGAGAGGACTCTTTAAAGTAGAGACACTACATACTGATATACACCTGAACATCAGCAGGAGAGGACTCTTTAAAGTAGAGACACTACATACTGATATACACCTGAACATCAGCAGGAGAGGACTCTTTAAAGTAGAGACACTACATACTGATATACACCTGAACATCAGCAGGAGAGGACTCTTTAAAGTAGAGACACTACATACTGATATACACCTGAACATCAGCAGGAGAGGACTCTTTAAAGTAGAAACACTACATACTGATCCACACCTGAACATCAGCAGGAGAGGACTCTTTAAAGTAGATACACTACATACTGATATACACCTGAACATCAGCAGGAGAGGACTCTTTAAAGTAGAGACACTACATATATACACCTGAACATTAGCAGAATATGTCCTCTCTGAAGTGTTGCAACTGTCCCATTACTGCCAGTCAGTCTTGATGTGAGACATATTTGCAGGTCAGTGTTTTTCATTTTGTGTGTTGTTATTTGTCACGCGGCGCCCACATGCTGTTAACACTTTCAGACAGACTAATTAGGTATGAGGAAAGGTTGATATGTACCTTCATAGAGCCAGTCAGCGATCCCGTTGAAGATGATGCCTTCCTTCCCTGAAGATGTTATCCTCAGGGAGTTACTCTTGACATCTGATTGGTAGTAGATGTTATTTTCAAATATGTAGATCTGTAGAGACAAAGCACACAGCCATGACTTATAGAGGCCCTATTATTCTTTTGGGGTTTTTCCATTTTCTGATGTTTGTAATCTTTTGTGTAGGCAAATTATAAACTAGTATATCACATACTCATTTGCTCAATTATGCCAAAGTATTGAAGGTGATAACCTCTAATGTACTATCAAATGTTTTCATGGAAGTAAACCTCAGGCCTCAGCAGTCAATTAAAATCCAAGAGCCAGAACCCTCTACCTCAAGGGATTTCCAGTTCTGACACTTTGGCTCCAAAACCCAACAGCCCAAATAGGTTGTGAACCTGAACCACCTCGGCAGCCATCATTGGAAACAGCTATTAAGAAAATGGTTTGCAGGTGATTGGATGAACGACCTGTTTGTCAAGATAAAGCTGCCTTCACATGATAGATAATTTCCTCTTTGCCCACCGCAAGGGTCTTTTAACCGCAGAGCCTTGTGGTTAAAAGAGCAAATTAGTTTTGTTTCTATGGTTACTTCACATTCTTGACTGTGCCATGTCATACAGCAGTTATCTCAGTGTTTGTGCGTACAAAGATAATCTGCAATCAAGGTCAAATATAAAACAAATTCAACTTTGAATTCTTTCAATAGGAACTTAACAGCCAACTCCGTTTCCCTGCTGTTGGTGTGAAGGCAGCTTAAGAGCAAAAGCATGTTTTCCATCAAGAAAAGCCTGCAATGCAGAAATAGTGATGTGAAAAACCAGCTGCCAAAATAAGTACTTGATGTTGATCAGTTGCCCATGAATGTATAGACAACTATGTTTAAATAGCTGTCATACTAAAGATTACTGAGTGAAAAATGCTTCCAAGATTTCCCTGTTGAAAAAAATGATGCTGAGCTCACTGACACACGTCACAACATCTCAGACAAACATATGTCAACGTAACACTGATCAAAGTCCGTCTAGGAAACCCAATCTTTATTCAGTCTTTGTAAAAAGATGGACGTCTGTGGTCTTAAGTGATCTTACATAAGATGCCTGCTGACTGCCTGCAGGACCCGAGACCTCATCAGTCTGTAGGCTGCCTGCTGACTGCCTGCAGGACCCGAGACCTCATCAGTCTGTAGGCTGCCTGCTGACTGCCTGCAGGACCCGAGACCTCATCAGTCTGTAGGCTGCCTGCTGACTGCCTGCAGGACCCGAGACCTCATCAGTCTGTAGGCTGCCTGCTGACTGCCTGCAGGACCCGAGACCTCATCAGTCCGGAGACAGAGCATGAGCTAAAGGTTCAAGAACACTTATCTAACAGCAGAATCTGCAAAAGAGAAGTGGGAGGAAACAGGACTGCAGCTGTAGGGAGAGTATAGCGCCGCAGGTTTGTTCAAATGAGATATTGTTGTCTTCACTTGTGCAACTGTTCTCAACCAGGTTAGGCTATTTATAAAGCATGTAGTATACGTTGTAACCTAAATTTGTTACACACCTTTTTAACCAAATTCATTCTGACTTATTAACACAAATACAACTTTATTTTATAGTAAATAAAAGGAGAAATGTTGAATGATTTGATGACAAAAATAAATTGTCACCAGAAGACCTCATGCTATACATTTGAATAAAACATCCCTAAATAAATGATAGCAGTGATCAGTATTTTTGTATTTCAAAGAACGTAGTGTGGAACCATCAAGGTTTTTCTGTGGGGCAATTACACAAAATATCCCCTTACTCTGATATAAAAACATTTGGAAACAATGACAAAGGAAGAGTAAAGGCCTGAGAAATATAGTTTTCTTTGAATGTTGTTTAGATTTAAGAAGTGCTCATAACTCCAAATGTAACATAAGCCTAAGCTCTGGCCATGACCTTAACAAGGAGAGTTGTACAACAAAGTCAAAAAGCGTCCCTCAGAAATGTCCAACCTGTCTGTGGCTCTCAGTCCTCTGCAGGCCACAGTGCCACACACTGAACCCCTGACATGTCTTCACAAATGATCAAAGAAATGCAGACAACTCCTAATAATGAAACTGTTTGTGCAATGCATTGCTTAAGATATGATGAATGGACACAAACCTAATTCATAATCCAAACAGAACTTTCTAGAATTTAAATGAGAATACACAAATTCCCAGATAATTGCCATGCCTGCCTACGGACATAAAGCCCACATTAGGTCCTTGTTTCCAGAGATGCTCTTCCAGCTAATGATGCTTCACGGTCCACTCGGAGAGAACGCCTTCACGCCTGTCTGGCTCTCACCCTTATCACCATAATGACTTCCTAATGGAGTCCTGTTTGATTTATGCTCAAATATTACACGCCTAAACGTGCAAATATGGATAAAGCAGCTTTAGCCCTTAAGCTGTCAAATAAAACCCCTGACCATCTGTCTGGTGTAGATTCATAAAAAAGGTATGAAAATGTGCATCTAATTAGGTCCCCTCAAAAATGTGGTATATTTTGAGTAGTTGGAATTGAACCCTTACATTGCTTCTGTATCCTGGGGGGTCAGTTATTTGACTGTGTCTATGTGGGAAATGGGTGTATTACGTGTGTAATAATGGTGTAACGTGGGTTTAATAGGGGTGTATTAATGTGTAATATGGGTGTAATAGGGTTGGAATACAAGTGTAATATGGGTCTAAGAAACAGTTAAACATGGGTATAATAAGGGTTTAATATGAGTGTAATCATGGTGCATGTAATAACAGAGTAATTTGGGGGTAAGACTGGTGTAACATGGGTTTAAAGGGGTGGATTAATGTATAACATGCTAGTAATGTAGAAAATACCAACTAATTTTCCAAAATATTAAATGCCTATTTAAGGGTTAAGAATTAGAAAATAGACACATCTTTAGTTTCCTCACAGTTCAGAAACACATACAGGCCTGGGGCTGAAGATATATTATTATTTTATTTTCTCCACAATTACAGAGCCTTCAAATGACCGCTTTTCCTATCAATTTCTGACGTCAGATAAGGACTAAGCATTCACAAATAAATAAGTTGAAGGCAACATTTCATATTATTTTATTTGTCTGTGCTAGCCAATTTAATTGCATCATGAAAGAAAGCAACCTCACGACCTAATGTTGGTTCAGTGTTTCCGTTAGACGGTTAATAAATGCATTCAAACATCAATGCAAATACGTTTTTCATCTCGCTAATCTTGAAACCTTAAAAATAACATGCTTTGAGAATAATGCAGTTCATTGAGCAGGTGGGAGACACAAATAAGTAAATGTAAAAAAAACAAGTAACCCTGAACTGAGATAAAGCTAACGCAGACACAGTGATCTAAAGCAGGGGTGGGGAACCTTTTTCCTCTCAAGGGCCATTTCAATTGTTTCAACATCCTCCGAGGGCCGTACAAATGATTGACCTCTACTTAAAAATCCCATTCATTTGGCCTTTCTTTCATGCTGTGCAAAGAAAAAGCAACCTCTTAATCCAGATATCTTACCATGACACGCATGCAAGTGCACGGTGTGGCATACCACCAAACAGAAAGATATGGACACAAGATGTGTGCAAATGTACTTAGTTTCCTATCCATGTGGACATGATTTAAGTGGGGGGGACCTAACCTCCTCTAGGGGGGTCCGGGGGCATGCTCCCCCGGGAAGATGTTTTTTTTAAATATTGAAGTTAAAAGCATCAATCTGGTACACTTTGAGAGCAACATTAAGAGATCTATGGATACATCTCTCAACACCCATATGAAACAGACCTATTAACAGATTTACTTTTTCTTTATGGATATTTTACAAATCACTCCCCTTTTAAACTGTATTCTTGTTTATTAATAACAACTTGTTTTACTGTCATATAGTATTTTATACCTGTTTACTTTATTCTCTTATTTTTTGTATAACTATAATGATCATATAAAGATGTGCCTTTACCTCACTGGTTGTAGAAAAAGCTTCTTATATCCGTTAGCATAGCTAGCTAACCAGATGCTAATAACAACAAAGTTATTGACTGTATGATCAGTATGACAGATGAACAGATCGCCACTGGGCTTACAACTAAAGACACAGCCACGCAAAAACTGCAGCATGTGTACGGCTCCTTATGGGTACTGCAATTCCCCACACCTGGTGTAAAGGCTGAACTGTGGAAATGTGTCTGTGCTCTCACCAGCTGTTGGCCCTGCACCCCCCAGGCAGCGTACTGCAGCACCGAGTTCACCACCTCGGGGGGGTCCAGCTCCCACACCTCCCTGAGAGAGAAGGATAAGAAAAGATAAGAAACAGAATAAGAGAGAAACACAGATTGTACACATGCCAATATACATAGGGATTATAAGAATATAACAAATGAAATAAAAATAAGAATAAACATGTAGTAAAAGTATAAATATAAATCACAAAAATAACACGAGTTACACTCTTATCAGGTGAATGTACAAATATACATATCTGTGAACAACCTAACATATATATACATTTAAATGTGCAGGTACCAGAGCAGGAGAAAGTCTGCATACAATGCATATATATTATGTTCAGTGCAGGTTTTGATGCGTGACATGGTTAACCTTTGAGTTTGCAGCCCAATGGCTACGAGTTGTCATCACATCACCCAGCGGTGGTCACGTGTTTTGACAATTGTATTTTTACTTTATAATGTATACACATTTTGTTTATTTAATATCAGGTTAGTCTAATTTAGTGTATACTCACTTATTCTGTAAATGTTTAGACTGTGTATTCGGTAGATACTCTCTTTATGTTATGTTTTTATTTCATGTGAAATGACTTGGCTTTTTAACATGCTACTGTGCCAAACAATTCCCCAATATGGGATCAATGAAGTGTATACATCTAAACTAATCTATTCTCTAGGACATTGTGCTTATTACATTTCTTTAGACAGTTTTTTTTATGTTTTATAGACCAAACTATCAATCAAGAACATATGTGTTGAATTACTCATTGATCGAAAAGTACTTGGAGCTGTAATATACAAATGTTATCTCAAAATGAAATAGGGGGAGATAATTTAGTATATATTGAGGGGCAAAGCCAAGCTGTTGAAACCCTGTGGCAGATTTCCCTGTGTCGTAACACACGCTCTTGGTCCATCATAACAGTGAGGCAGGGTTGAAATGAGCTCCAGCTGGCAGCCTCTATGATCACAGAGATGACCAGGATAAATCAAACATACCAGAGTGGAGACCCGAAATGGCATATTATCTGAGGAATGTATCACAAAGTTTCCCAGAATCACACTTTGGTTTAAAAAGTGAAATCCCAACAGTGTAATCAAGTTTGAATGATCTCCCATGATCAGCAGGAAACCTGCCCGTCACTGAGCGGGAAGGATCAGCCCTTTGGACAGAGAGTGGGACACCTTGATATTCTAAAGACCTCTAAAGACCCCCATGTAAAGCAGCAGGAGGCTACAGAATGTCAGCTGATCTACTGATAATGAACATACTCCATCAAACTGAGGATACACTCATGTTTTGTCTAAAAGTGTTTATGGACAGATGTTGCCTCAGCTGAAGCCTCTCTACGGAGCTGAAGCAGGGCCAAACATTTTGATCATTCGAAAAAAAGTAATGTATCTGAAAGTTCAAGTTTTGATCCTGAACTTTGAAAAGTACAATGATGTGTTCATATCAAAAATAAATTGTATTATAATTTTATTCAGTTTAGCAATTTTTTTAATTAATATATTTTTTCATATTTCACTTTTAACTATATTTATATTTTTTTCATGTGCAGATGATGTGCTTTTTGGGTTCAATGTTGTTATCTTCTCAACCATGCCGCATGCAGTAACCACACTTGTAGAGATCAAGATGTGCGTAGTCCAAGCTAAGTTGGAAAAGAGGTGGATCTTGCATTACATTACATGTTATTTAGCTGACCCTTTTTTCTAACTTCAAGACAACAGACATGCCTACAGGGGGCAATTTGGTGTGTAGTGTCTTCAAAACATTGACCCACTTCTTTACGCTATGCACCAAAGTCAGCCTTCACAGCTGGAATATGGTCTTTAGATTTACACAACTGAAGTGTTCAGCTCACCAGAACCCTGCAGTCACTATTCCGTGTGCATTGCAGGAAACCAAAATGCGATGAATACACTTTAGGTGAGCCAACTTCATCTCCAAAATAGATCTCCTTGATTGGCTCAGATCTAGGATTTTTTTTTTATAGCAGACGTTTTCAAACAGTGATGTCTATTACACATAAATTAGATAGTTTCCCAATATTTAATAACTTTTTATATTTATTATCACTTTTTTATTATCTTTAACTCATGTGCAATGTCTTGTTTAAATGCTGCTTTGATAAAATAATTTCCTAAATTTGAAAAATAACGTACATGTATTCTTATCTAATCTAAAAGTACTGATTTAACCAAAAGCATGATCTATTCCAAAACCTAACTACATTTTTTTTGTTCTTCTAATCCTAACATTCCCTGTTTCAGCTGCAACTGTTCAACATGTGAGTAGGTGTAGTCTACTCGGTATAAATAATTATACTGATTGCGACAGATAATGGTCATTGAATGGGCTGGAAACAATATAGACATTGTAATTGCAAGCTGCTGCAGCTTTGGTCTGAGATGAGACAAAGTGTGAAAACATGTCCTTTATGCAGGTCACAATATGAAAACACGTAAAGATAATACTTGTATTGCACTCAGTCCTTACTGAAGTATCTGTGCTGTACGGGTTTGCAAAGTACACCCTGTAGCGAGTAAAACTCTAACACAGAAAATACCTGTCTATGCTGCCCCAGAACGCCTCGTTGGACATTTATCTTTTTCCATTGTTTTCTTCCTGAGTATGGTGACGTGACCATACCCAGGTCCAAATGGACCAATCCGTGGAGCTCCTCACACACACTCACTCAGCCTTCTCTTTTCTCAGCCGCACTCCGCGGAGTTTCGCCGGCACACACCTTATCGTTTCTCAGCCTCGGCTCACACTCACGCATGTGTGCACAGGCTGAGTTCCTCGGTGTCTCGCAGACCCCACGCAGCAACTAGGAAACGACACCCGTAATCCAGCTCACACTGTCCGCTCCTCGAGCGGAGCAGCGAGCCCCGCAACGTCCCGCCAACACGGCACCCAGACTAAAATAATCGTGGCTTGATATTGAGTAAGAACATGTTTTTATGAACCCCACAGCTTCCGGTCTTCCAAGACCCGACCGGACAAAAATATGTGGTGCCGGCACGAAACGTACTACCAATAGAAATACATTTTAAAATCGTTCTGTGTGACACGAAAAAAAGGGGAAAATCGTGTTGGTGAACACGAATCAATAGATTAAATGTCGTCACTACAGTATAACACAAAATGCAGTGAGACTGGTTTGGTCATTACTGGTGTCCTTTTCTGGTTGCTAACAAATGCCATTGTAACACATAAACACACATCAGAGCACAGTGGGCTCACAGGGAGGGGGGGGAGCAGGAGCTCCAACAAGGCGTGTCGGACAGAGAGTGAATACACATACTTTACAGAGTGATGCTGTATGAGAAACCAATGTGAGTTTGGAACATTGAACAATGTAAATCTATTCTAATAGACCTCAACGATGGAATTAGGATCAGTAGAAATGGCCATGACATGGGACCTTTAAGCATCTAGACTAGAGGCTCTGAGTACTTCTTCCACTTTTGTTTGTAGCACAGGCTGCCTCACAGCTGCTGCAGGGCACAAACACTCACCGTGTGTGAATGTTGTAGATACTGTAGGAGGCCATGTAGGAGTGGCGGTAAACCTGCAGCAAGATAAACAGAGTGAGAGAGAGAGAGATTAAATGATGACTGACTGAAACAGTAACAGAGCGGCCGCATATGGCAAGCCATTTGAGTATTTATTCCATATCCTTGATATCAGACGACAGCTGACTACTTTAGTTGGCTCTTTGATTTAACTTGTTAGATATATAGTCAAACTATAGTTTGGCAGTCTGCTTTACTAGTTAAATAAAACATTATACTAGTCACTCTTTTTCAGCAACTAGTGGCACTTTTGTCTGACTAGTTACCACATAAGCCTTACTAGTGACGCCAGGAGCAGCACTTGTAGCACCAAAGTCCCAACTAGTAAGCTTTTTGATGAACTAGTGACCCTCTGACCGTACTAGTGACAAGGGCAAAGGGTTCACTAGTTAACGTGTAGACATTTTGAGCCCCACTAGTTAACTAGTAAGGTCAAAAGAGGTGTCAACTAGTTAACTAGTGAACCTTTTGCCTTTACTAGTTAACTAGTGAGTGATTCTGGGTGCTACTAGTTAACTAGTGCAGACAAATGTATGCCACTAGTTAACTAGTTGTGCTTCTTTTGTGTAACTAGTTAACATGTCAGAGCTTTTGCAGCGCACTAGTTAACTTGTAAGACTTTTAGGGTCACTAGTACGGTCAGAGGGCCACTAGTTCATAAAAAAGCTTACACGTTGGGACTTTGGCGTTACTAGTGCTGCTCCTGGCGTCACTAGTAAGGCATACGTGGTAACTAGTCGGACAAAAGTGCCACTAGTTGCTGAAAAAGAGTGACTAGTATAATGTTTTATTTAACTAGTAAAGCAGAGTGCCAAACTAGTGTGACCATATATCTAACAAGTGAAATCAAAGAGCCAACTAGTGTAGGCCGCTGCCGTGTGATGTCAAGGATATGGAATAAATACTCAAATGGCTTGCCATAGCCGCAGTGTAACAGATAACGACATCATGACACAAAATGAAAAGGAAGAAGGCATCAAATGAAGCAGGCTGCTGTTGCTCTGGCTAATAGAATCGCTACACAATGCAATTTGCATGGGAGACAGCTGTGGGACGAGACATTTTAATTCCATCAGAGAAAACCATCATCGCCTCTGTACTGAACGCAGACAGAGTGACAGAGAGGGAGAGATGCATTCAAAGAGACAGGGAGGGGGCATGTAAAGCTGCCTGAAGCCCCCCCCCCCCCCCCCCCCCCCCCGGACGAGCTGGGGCTGACATGATAATAGACCTCTGACCAGGGTTACAGGCCGTAGTTTTGCATTTCATCATGCATATGACACTCATGTATTCAGCTGTGATACAAAGCAGGGGGATATAATACAAGAGAAGATTCTGTACTGCTAATGTAGAGACTAAGAGTTACTCTCCAGTGACAATAAGTGTGAGCTGGGGCATACTCAGCTCTCCATCTTCAAAGTACACTGGATGAGTCCAGAGTGCACATTGTTCTTCTGTTTCTTTATTCTTCCGTCTTCAACGTCTTCTTCTTATTTCACCCCATGTCTTGCCGTTGAATAACTTCAACATACTACAGAAAACATTCAAATATCAAAATATTCAGCCTGTTCAGCACATGATGGGAAACTTTAAAGGGAGGGAATGCTCATGACACGCATTTTTAAATAATTATCATCCGATAAAACAGACCAGTCTCTGCCAGTCTTTTTTTTTTTTTTTAATCCGATGTCGTTATCAGTGATTTTAAACGGATTAATTACCGAAATAATCAACCCTATGGCCGCGCCATTTTACCGGAAGTGACGTAAACTATGCGTTTGGTGTCGAGGACAAATTGATGTTCATGTTGTTTACTCTAGTTACTCTCTCAATTCTATAGAAATATGCCTCATTGTATCGCGAAACATTGCCACAATTCGGATAGGAACAATCCACGGAATGCTCGATTCCATCTATTGCCAAAAGATAAGCGTAGGAAGTACGTTCGGAGGCAGTGGCTAGCGAAATGTGCTCGGCCCGAACCGAAAGATCCACAGGCGCATGTATGCAGCGAACATTTCAAGTTTCCGGACGACTACTCTGAGAGTATGATAAAACATAACATGGGATTTATTAAACAACCATTACTTAATGGAGATGCAGTGCCATCGGTCTTTCTGGTGTCATCACCGACCAGGACACCAGTTCGGCCAGTTGAGAAATCGCCCTCTGCAAGTGTGAAGCGACGGAGGACCAGAAGTAGTGCTAGGAGTAAGATTATAAGGTATGTTATGGCGTATTTCCATTGCAGCGGGTAGCCCCGTTTAAACGTCCTTTAGCGTCCAGGCCAGGACAGTTTTTGGTGGCCTTTCCATATAGCGTAGTACCGGCAGCGGGTACTTTTCCCCAGTTTTTCCGGCCCCATAAAATCGTGGTTCTAGGGCCAGGGACAACGAGGCTGAGTATGCTAAACTAGAGAGGGATTCGCTAGCAAGGGTGGTACTACATGCATACATATCTAGTAGGGGTGTAACGGTACACGTACCTGTACCGAAATTATTCGGTACGGGCCCTTCGGTTCGGTACAGGTGTGTACCGAAGTGTACCGAACGAATATAACGTTAAACGTAAAAAATTGAGAACGTGAATAACTTTTTGGAAGTAATCTCAGGTGCTGCGTCGCAGCATTCAGAGTAATTTGCTCACATTGGGTTCAACGCGTCATAGAGCGAGCAAGTCATTTCATTGGATGAGAGGCATACTATGAGAGCTGGTCAGAGGGATGCGTTCAAATGTAGTCAGTAATTTGAGGAACTGTCAAAAATGAATGGCGAACGCAGATAAAGTTGAGCTCGAAAATCCTCCAGCATCATTGAAGTCTCCGGTTTGGGAACATTTTGGTTTCGCAGTTACGTACAAGGATGACGGACAAAGACAGGTGGACCGAACCAAAGCTGTTTGTCGGCATTGTTCAACTAAAATTGGTTACGCGGCTGGCAATACATCAAACTTGCACACTCTTGAAAAGGCATCACCCGAACGTGAATATCACCGGTACCAAAAGAAAAATGACTGAAGTGCAAACCCAACTCCCAATAGCATTTAAGCCTCCACCACTCGCAGAAAGATCAGACCGAGCCAAAGCTATTACAAACACCAAATATCCTTATGTTGCCATGTTAGCAAAGCGCTACCTGGCTGTATCTGCTACCTCTGTCCCTAGCGAGAGGGTTTTCTCCACATCAGGAGACATTGTTAGTGCCAGCAGATCTGCCCTTTCGGCAAGCAATGTGGACAAGTTAATTTTTCTTTAAAAAAACATGAAAATACAATGACAAGCAAGTCCTAATGTCAAACTGGCTGCTTAGGTGCTAGTACAGTACAGTTCAAATACAGATTATTTCAGTTCATCGAAATGCTGCACCTTAATGTTCATTTTATTATATTTTGTATTTATTTGAGTGAATATTCACAGTTTAATAATAATTAAAAACACAAAACTAATAGTTTATGTTTTGTGAGTACTAGTACAGTAAAGTTCAAATATAGATTATTTCAGTTCATCGAAATGCTGCACCTTAATGTTTATTTGATTATATTTTGTATTTATTTGAGTGAATACATTATTCACAGTTTAATAATAATAATAAAAAAATATATATATATGTTTTGTTTTGTGAAAAAAAATTCTGCTGTACCGAAAACGTACCGAACCGAACTGTGACCAAAAAACCGAGGTACGTACCGAACCGAAATGTTTGTGAACCGTTACACCCCTAATATCTAGTAATCAAAATCATTGTATCTACTAAGTAGGCCTAAATTGGGGTTGTATTGTTTGCCTTTTTAGAAAACTTTATATTATTTGGGCAGTACATGATATACACAATTGTATTGTTTGCCTGTAGTTGGCCTTTTAATTAATAAAATATTTGAATTTGAAGTTTTGTAGATAGGGATCTTTTGGAATTATCTAGTCTTTGTAATTGTCCGGCGACGTTTCTCAGACTGTCCAGACTGCTTTAATTCTCTAGCTTAAATCAGTAAATGTTCTAAAATGTTTGCTGGGGCCCTGACAATACTCGAATACTCCGCCATGTTTTCGTGTGTTTACAAAGTGAACGCATGGATGACGTCACGACCATCACGTGACTACTGAAAATGGCCAAAATGGCAGCTGCCTGACGGAATATACAGGTTTTGATAAAAAAGAGCTATAAAATCATTATTTACCGGGGAATATCGCTGATTTCTTCAGGGTATGGTTTAAACATAATGTTTCACTAAATACTGAAGTTTTGATTAATTATCTAATGAGTGGAGCATTCCTTTAAATTATTTCCAAACTTTATATACTTTTTAATGTATTCAGCTTTTTTAATTCTTTTTTTAACATGTAACTCAATGGGAGGAACCTTCAAATACTCGTTTAGCTACACCTTGTACACAATGCTACTCCTTCCACATACTTTCAGCTACAGTATAGACTTCATTCCAACTTTAAAATGATCACAAGACATTCAGCTATTACATTTATATTCAGCTTTTCGATATCTTTTACAGTTTCTGAATTTCCAACGTTCAAGTTTTGGTAAATATTCAGGCCCGTTTTAGATTGTATAATGGGTGTCTATGGGACGGACTCTTCAGAGCTAGAGTGCGTGACATCATCACTTAGAGTGGAGAGGGTCTTTCAAATCTTCTGAACAAATATTTTGAAACTGCTCTCAATCCCAAAATATACACAATATTCAAATACTGTCAAAAGATTTCAGAAGCAAAATTAGTCTGGCTTGCCTAAATGCCTTCATCATATCAAACGAAAGAAGTCAACTTTAAACAAACTGCCGCCATGTCCACATAAAAACACATATTTGTTCATCAGCGTTCCCTGATGCTCACGGTCAGGTCATTGTTTTGATAGGAGCCATAGTTTTTTAACAGAAGGCAAAATTGTGGGAGATAAACCTCAATGCATTCTGAATGAGCCTCCCTCTGCTGCTGCAGAGGACCATGGTAACCATAGTTACTGGGCAGATTGGGGCAGACACAGCTG